CACGTTGACGGGAGTCGGCCCGCATTAGAATCGTTTCCTCGTGCTCCCGACACCGTTACGATTTTCTCCAATCTCACCGGTTAAAAGCCGGCGCACGATAACGAAAACGCGGCGGAACGGCGGCCAACAACGCTCTTTTCCCTCCTCCTCCCCCCGCGTGCGCGGCTAGTTTCAGGTGTACGACGATAAAGCTGACGACGGGTCAATAAACTCGGTTGGAATGCCGAGTGCGAGACGTGTGCACCTTTCGTGGACAAGTTTTCGAGTTTATGCGGATTGCATCGAGCGGATGTGGAAGAAGTGGAAGTGAAGTTGTTGCAAAGGCTCGAAGAAATGTATCAATTTCTCTATTACGTTACCTTGGAATTTTGGAAATTCGAGAGATAGAATACGAAACGAAGGAAAGAAAGAGAAGGGAAGAAACTTAAATGATGGAACAATAACAATGATAATTCGATTATCAGATCTGTTCGAAAATGTGAGATTGATAATAGAGAGATAAAGCACGATCGTTTTCTCAGTCGTAAATTTCATCGAACGACGATTGAAGTTTGGAGAGTCGACGAGCGAATCTCTTTTCACCTCGTCGTCGTCATTGTTTCTCCGCGCCAAGAAGTCGGCTCGATAAACAGAAGGCGAGAGAACACCCCCCTCCACCACCTCCGCGTCGACTCTAAATATATCGATGTTCGTCGATAGCCCAGAGTCGTCCTCGAGTCGTCCTATCTCGCAATTTTTGGGGGGCGAAGAGAAGAGTGAAAAGGGCGTGAGCGGAAGGATCGTCGAGGCATCACGTAATGTCTAACTCGGTGTGTTCGCGCATTCCCTCGTTTCGTAACGATTTCGGGACCATTGGTCGGTGTCCAACTGCCAGGTCAGAATAACACTGTCATTTTCGCAACAATGACACGATAAGATATATATATATATATATATATACATTCGTTCGATTTTTCGAAATTTATTCGAATTTTAATTACGTGTCATTTCTAGTATCTCTCTCTATCGCCACGATTTTATCTCTTTCTACTTCCTCCTCGGCCTAATAATAATTTAATATTTTATAATCTTTCTATCTATAAATTGAAGAAAAAACATCATCAAATATATCTGCGAAACGAAATAGAAATAATATTCTCTTTCGAGTCGTGCGATTCGAAAGAGATCGAAGGTTTTGAATTAGACAAATAATATAATTATTAAAACAATATTATAACAAAACCTGCCTCCGCTATTTTTCTTCTTACTCGAAACAAGATCGACCTCTATATTAAAAAGAAAAGAAGCCTCGATTCCCAAAACTACTCTTCGATCCGAAAAATTGAAATAAATCGAAACGAAGCACTTCTTCGAAAGTTGAAACTCGGGAGGACTTCCGGTTGAACTCGGCCAGGCATACCGAGTTTCGTGTCAATGCCGTGGCAACGAACGACGCTCGCGCGCGTCGCGGCGTTGACGCCGGCGTACGATCGAATCGTAGTCGTGAGTCAGCCGGACTAATATTAGAAGGTGAGGAAGCTGCCCTGGCCCGGCCCCTCCCCCCCCCTCTCTCGTTTCTAGGCGACGAGCAGCGCCGCCAC